GGTTGGGTTTTTCTTTGCTTAATTTCTTTTAATGTTTTCACATATGTGTTATTGAACAAACCAACTGCTACTTTTTCAAATGTTGAAGGTTACAGACCATTTTCTGTCATGCTCTTCATCTGTGCGAGTGTGATACGCCATCCAGTTGTTGCACTTGGATATGCTGTAACTCTGACACCTAGATGGATTTCACTGCTACTATCTTGCCTCACTTTTACTCATGTTACAGTATGTATTTCCTATTAAATCCATTATGTTTTCTTGACAGTTTGTTCTTTGTTTCCTTATGGGATTTAGCCAAGAATATGTGGAGAATGACCTTTTCCCCTCAAAGGTTCTAGAATTATCTGTCACAGTGGCACATGTTTGTGAACAAAATGGTAATTCATTAGTACAGCCTTATGAAACTGTTATGAAGACATAACAGCTGAGACATGTACCATACTGTATTATACCACATAACAAAGGCTTTAAAAGCACATTCACTTGGGGGAGCAAGTTATTATAAGGCTCTAGTGGCAAGACAAACTCTTCTGTATTTTAACTTCCTTTTTTATATACTTTCTATTTCTGAATATTGTACATCCAACATTGAAATTGTGACAGTGAATTGATTTAAGACACAAATGTATCGCGTTTTTTGCAGCGGAAGTTGGAACTGGATGATCTTAAAGTCCTTTCCAACCCTAACCATTATACGATTCTGTGATTTTTGGCAGTCTTTCCCCTTGTGCTCCCCATACCCAGTACAATGAAGAAATAAAGAAGTTCTGTAGGTTTCTTCTAAATGAGAAACTTTTGCATTTGCATTTGTGCATTCAGGGCACAAAAATAACCTGATGTGCGTATAGCTTTTGCTGTGTAGTAAATGTTTGCCTGTAAAATTAAGCTTGAAGGTTAACCTTTGTATCAGCAATTCTTGTCCCTCATAAGAATGTTCTGCCTTTTCATTAAAGGATTGGCTTAACCTGTTACAAAGGTTGAAAGGTCTGTGCCTTCTTATTATAGTATCTCTCGTAAAACAAACTTAAGCCGCTCGAAGTTACAGAGCATTTGCAGCACTGTAAACTGCACAAATTTACAACCATCGCTTCACTGCATGAAATGTAGTCAGATTACTAGTGATGAAATATTGTAGTGATGAATTCCCAAGCTTATGAATGTTTTGAGACATTTTTTTAGTCTTCTCTTGGGCTGGTCCTGAGAGTGTGTACAGGTTTGTCTGTATTGTTGGTTTGTAGATGCTAATGAGGAAAACCAGGCTTTTGTTTTCTCCTTTTTGTTTTGAATTGTTACATTCCCACATAGTGGATAGAATGCAAATAAGGAGGTGTTGATTTGGCATAATGTAAACAGCCTTTTCAGCCTAAGCATTCGTAATAAACTTTTATAGTGTAATAACATGCTCAGTCACTACCAGTCTGATGTATTGTGCAAAAAAAAAAAAGGTGTAAACATTTTATTAATAAAAGGCTTTGTTTATAAATGTGCTGGCTTTGCTTATAAATGCTTTCAAAATCCTCAACATCTCAATAGCAATAGAACTATGGAGAGGAATGTAAGCAATACCATAGCAGAAGTGAATTTAAGTAGTAGTTTGAATAGTTTTTTTTCCAAAAGTGGTGACTGCTGGTCATTCAGAAACTGAGGCTTTTCCCTGCTTTATGTATACACAAAGGCAGAAGACAAACTTGTACAAAGAAGGGATGGGGAAAAACAGCAGAGAGAATGCAGCTTTTGTGTAATGCTTCCTTTCTTTGCAGCGTGATGTCTGAGAAACTGCAGGCCACACACCAGAGCAAGGTCTGACAAATTCTGCCAGGGTCAAGTTATTAAATATGTTGTTTTTACCTTAGACTGCATGAAACATAAAATTTGTGACTGCTTAGGCCAGGTTTCTGTCAATCAAAAGTGCAGAGTGCTTTTAATATCTGCATAGTGGTTTTGGAGCCTGTCATGCTGGGAAGGGAGCCTTTATTTGGTAATACAGCCAGCTGGTTGGCAATTTGCTTTTTGGTTTTTTTTAAAAGCACTGCTTTGGTGGTTACGTAGGGCACAAAACTATGGAGCTGGGTGCAGTTATCTCACTTGTCTTCTGTGAGGCTGAAAAGATGTAGTTTTCTTGTTTTGGGGTGTGATGCAAGTTTAACATGTTCAGTTAATAGCAGCCTTCAAAAGCATAAATAAAGTCCTGTTTCTGGTACTGCTGTTTCACCTGAAAACATTGGCTACAAGTGTCTGCTGAGCCACTGGCTGGAGCTCATATGCAGGAAACATCCTGTCATTCTTTTAAGAGACCTGGAATAACTTAAAATTATTGCTCAGTACCTGCTGTTTTTAAGTTATCCTTAGATGTGTGTAAATGGCTTTTGAAGAGTATCAAATATATTTGTATAAGGGGGTAAGAATGTTAATCAGAGTATAAGAAAGATAAATACAAGGAATGTGCTAGAATAGAGAGATAAACATTTATGTGTGTTTGCATAGGGAATCTAGATAACCAAATGTAAACCACCTAATTTGCACACAAACAATGAGAATGTTTTCTTTGGATAAAGTCTTTCATAGCTTTTCAGGTAAAAGTTATGCACCAGATTAAACTCTTCTTAATACTGGAACAATTTTAAAGCTTTCAGGTGTTCTTTGTAGTTGCCCCGTAGTGTTCATCTCTTTTCTTCTGTTAAACAAACCCTGACCTGGGCAACAAGTTGTCCTCTGGTCTTGTTCATAAAGTGAGGATGGGTTTTTGTATGTAATGAGAATGTAGTATTGCAGGTGGCCTTCATGCTTGCCTGTTTCAGTGAATCTGATCTGCACAATGTTAAATGTACACGCATTATTTACATATAACAAACCTGACAACCTGCATTCATTGCTTCATAAATTTCCAACTTAAACAATGCTGTGCTTTATAAAAACTTCAGTCTGGATCAAAGCATGGGCAAGTCCTTCGCATACAAGCAGGTGGGTTCAGAGCTGCCAGCTGCGGTAAGATGATACAACTTGGCAAACCCTTTAAGATGTGGATCATCAAACGCTTTGTACTTTCAGAAGTAGAACCTGGAAGGGTCTGAGTAGCACACTGAGCAGTTGCTTACTTCAGGGTTTTTTATTATGTATGACTGTATGTTGTCTAAAGTTTCCTCTGCTGTATTCCTCACCGTTAGTTTCCAATTAACTTGCAGATTCATATAACACTTGTCTTTTCTACTAATTGCTGGACTGAGAATGCATAGCTCAGTAAGAGAATCTGTTTAGAAAATAACCCAAAGAAATTAGGTGAAAGAAGATAACCTTTCCAGAGTATCAGCCACAGACAGCTCTACTCCAGAGTGAAATTAGTTCTCTTCTGATTCTGAGATCTACTAAAATGTCACATCATCTGTAGCTTACGCTATAATTTAAACTCCCAAAAGTAGCAAAAATCAGAAACCAAGGACTTCTGAGTAACTAAGAAAAGTAGACTAGCAGAGACCTAAAAAAGAAAATGCTCTCTTTCACAACCTTGTGTGACTATCTTTTCTTGAGCAGAGAAGAAATTTGAAGAACAACACAGTATTTGCGAGTGTTGCCAAACATTGCTGAGGCTTCTAAATATTAGTCCTAATGTCTCATCTAGGAGTTGGCAGGTTTCATTTGCGTTGTGCAAAACCAAGAGCTATACTAAATGTGTATGGGTGTTTGTTTTGGTTTGGCATTGAATGAAAGAACAAAACCGAAAGATGAAATGGGGTTGGAGGTGGTTAAGCAGAAGAGCTGGAAAATGGGGGATATCATGGAGAAGAGCAGCTGAAATGTTGAGATGTGGTGTGAACAATGGAGATGGGCTTGGAACACTGAATGCCTTCATCCACTTTAGTGCTGTTTTAACATCTATATCAGCCATTTGCTGTTGCTTTTATCACCAGTAACCCTCTTTTTAAGAATTCAGATCTTTTTAGCTACCTTGTCCTTTTTTTTTTTTTTTTTTTTTTTGCAATTCTGAAGTAAAACAACATGATACCAAAAAACTCACATGAGGGTGAGGCACACTGCACCACGCTGGTTGTATTGGTGTGTTGAATGAGTTTTCCCAATGTTCTACCATATTTCTGTTCACCTCACCTGTTTGCTAATCAGCCTTGATTAGGACTTGCTCGACCTAAACTGTGTGCTTTGGGTTCCTATGCTTTGAAAGCCAACTGATGTTGATACACTTGCTTTTTATCTCTGCAATTCTTCTATGTCTGAAGTTGCCTAACACATACTTTTTGGTGTATATCAGTTACCAGTTTTTAAGACTGGTGTGTCTCTGCTGATAAGGGCATCCCACACTCCTGTTCCATTGTTACTCCCTGCTGACTTTGACTGTTACAGCAATACTTTATACATTCTGAGGAACTTCTAGAATGTTTAAACAACTGAAGTGATAGAGGAAGGAAGTGTACTACTATTGGAGTATTGTGTGCAGTTCTGGTGTCCTCAACATAAAAAGGACATCGAACTGTTGGAACAAATCCAGAGGAGAGGGCCATGAGGATGATCAGGGGCTGGAGCACCTCCTGTATGAAGACAGGCTGAGAAAGTTGGGGCTGTTCAGCCTGGAGAAGAGAAGGCTGCGTGGAGACCGCGCCGCGGTGCCCGCAGTATGCCATTCCCCGGGAGCTCCCTGCGCTGGCTGCTTGTCCCCCTAGTCCCCTCCACAGGGATGCGGCTCCGCGGTGAACCACGAGGCGAAACAGTCCTCGGTGTAGGGACTGGAGGCCTGACATAACAGGCTGCTACTGGGCAATACGGCGTTCGTTACCGGTCGTGATTTCCAGCGTTAATATGAATTAGACCGGTTTCAGGTAGCTGGAGTCTGACGACCAGCCCGAAGCCAGCTCCGCCGCCCGCTCGGCCCCGTGCTGCCGGCAGCAGGGCGGGCGGAGGCGCGGCGGGGGGCGGGCGGGCGCAGACGTCAGCCGCAGCCTCTCTCTGGGTCCCTCCGTGCTGCATCATCCCGCCTCCCGCCCTCTGCCTGCGTCCGCGCCGGCAGCCGCCGCCCGCCTTCCCTGGCCTGTCCCCGCGCCGCCGCCCGCAGCACCTCTGCTTTCGCCGCTCCCGGGCCGCTCGGCGGGGCTGAATAAACCAGCCGGGCGCGGCCCCCCCCCCCCCCCCGCCTGCTTTCCCTCCTCTTCTCCCTCCCCCTTTCCTTCCCCTCCCTCCCCGTCCCTTCCTCTCTCCGCCTGGTGCCGCCACCGCCGAGGAGGAGGAACATGGCGAAAGCGGAGCAGGTCCTCAGCCTCGAACCACAGCACGAGCTCAAATTCAAAGGTACGAGGTGGCGACAGCCGCCATCACCCTCCGCCTCCCCTCGCCGGGCCGGCGGTGCGGCCGCTCTGAGGCCCCGCTCCAGCGGCAGCCATTTTCCGGGGGCCGGGGCTAGGTACCAGCCGCTAAAATGTCCTTCAGTGCCGGGGCCGCCGCGCCCCCCCCCCCCCCGGGCCTCTCCCTCCTGCCGTGGGGCGGGGAGATGCCCCCAGCCCGGTGGGGCTGCAGCGGGAGCGCCGGGCCTTTCTCCGGGCCTGGCCCCGCAGCGGCTGCGCCGCCCGCCCCCACCCGTGCTGCAGGGCCGAGGCGGCCTGAGGGAGCGCGGGGGGGTGGGGCGGCTGCTCCGGCCGGCAGCGAGCCCCTGAAGAGCCCGTTTCTTACCCGGGCTGGCTTCACCGCGCCGCGGCGGAGGCTTCGCTGTGCCCGCCAGGCGTGGGCCAGGGGCTGCGGTGGGCAGCGCCCGAGCCCCGCGGGGCCGCCCGGGTGCGGGGAGTGTCCGAGGTGGCGGGAGCAGCCCCCGGGCTCCGCAGAGCTGCGGTGGCAGGGGAAGGGGTTGATGCCTCAGCTGGTGCCAAGGCAGCGCTCGGCGGCTCCGAGACACCCATCCCCCGCCCCGGCCCTGGAGCTGTCAGGCAGCCGGGGCGTGGGGCACCCGAGCGGTGTGTGCGGCTCCGCGGGCTTTGCAGAAAATACGGGGCCGCTGGGCAGCCTTTCGTGGCTGTTTCACGTTATTACTGATAGAATTCGAGAAGCCAGTTAGATAATTTAATCGTAGATACTCATGCAAAAATCCATCCTTTTTTTAAATAAAAATCTTGAATGGGTTTGGATTTTTGCTCGCATTGAAATTCCTGCCTTGTAGCCTGATGGCACTACTGTAATACAATATTCTTGGATTACAAATAAGCATTCAGCAGGTTTATTTATGCTACAAGAGTCAGAGGTGACTTACAGCTTCATTTGACTATCTGGCAAATAGGTTTAAAAAAAGAAGTGATTTATTTACTAGCTTCTTTTAAAAATGCTCCTTTAAACAGCTTTCATGTGTGTTTTCAAATGTAGGGGAAGTTTTTATCTGTTTTTATTAGTAAATATATTGCAGGTAATAATATAAGGTGGGCTTATCAAGAAGCGCGGTAATAAACACTGGGTGGAATGAATGTATCCTTGCTGTAAGCTGAAGTATTTGCATGTTGTTATGACAGCATCATCAAACATACTTAAGAAGGAAACTACTGCTGTTTTAAAATTCTTTATGTTAAGTATGATTAGGTGAAAATCAGCTCTTGTTCTGAATAATATTGTGGTCAACAAGCAAGTGAATCCACACTCAGGTGGGCAAAAGGTGGGGACTTAATTGGCACTGGCTTGCTAAGGAGATACAATTGTGAATCAGGGTTTGGTTGGTGGGTTTCACTTCATCATAAACAGATATAAACCAAGCTAAAGTTTGGTTCTTGCTGAAATAAAGATTGCCTGTCAGACTGGTAGCCTTCCAATTGAGGTTCTGGGCTGAATAATCAGTAGCTATTGAAGTTAAATCAGCCAACCGTATAGATTTTGGTTACCAAATATTTAGCCAGTAACATATATTCTGTATAATATAAAATGTTACTTGACTAGCTGCAGCTATTAAATGCTTTGATTTAAAAGTATTCTTAAATATTAATGTTCAAACAGACAATGCTACAGGTAGCATTCATGTGCCTTGGCAATATGTTCTAACAGTCCTTTCTAACAAGTAGTGCTGACCACTCTCCTTCATTCAGGAAAGGCCAATTTGAAATATTCATGAAGTAAATTTTGCTCGAAGTATTTCTTGTCCTGCTGGGTTTTTGGTAGTGTGGCAGTAATGATTTTCTCACCTTTGTAAATAGTAGCATTTTTTTCAAAGCGTTGCTTTGCGCAGTACGAGTAGATACAAACTGGCAGAGGTCAGTAGTGCTGCTCACTGGTAGGCCTGTGCTTTCTCATTGGTGTGTCCTGGAAGATCTGATGCTTAGCATAGGGCAGTGATGTCAGTAGGACTGTAAACCAGCTCTCACAAACACTGGAAATGAATAAAGGTCATAGTCAAAATGCAGGTAGAAAAAGCAGAAAACTATTCCGATGCTGTTAAAATGCTCTGTATAGCTCTTAAGTATAAAATCTAGTGGGAGGTTATGATATTTGCAAAATGACAAGAGGAAATAAGATACCCCAGTGAGGATTCATTCTGTCCTAGTCACTATGCACTTGCAACCATCTCTCTCTTAGCCAGCACTTTTCACTTGTAAAGGATGAAGTTCAGAAAGGTCAAATGCAAAGTCTTGCACCAGGGTCTTGGCAATCCCAAGCACAAATCCAGGCTGAGCGGAGAGTGGATTGAAAGCAGCCCTGGGGAGAAGGAGTTGGGGTGTTGGATAGGAAGCCCAGTATGACCTGTCAGTGTGCGCTTGAGCCCAGAACGCCCTGTCTGCTGGGCTGCATCCCCAGAGCATGAGCAGCTGGTCATGGAGGGGATTCTCCCTGTCTTCTGTGCTCTGGGGAGACCCCCCCTCTACAGTTCTGATCCATCTGTGGGGCAACAGCAGAAGAGGGATGTGGAGCTGTTGGAGCGAGGCCAGAGGAGGCCACGGAGATGCTGCGAGGGCTGGAACAGCTCTGCTCTGGAGCCAGGCTGAGAGAGCTGGGCTGGTTCAGACTGGAGAAGTGAAGGCTCCTTAAGGGGAGACCTTAGAGCAGTTCCAGTGCCTAAAGGGGCTACAGGAAACCTGGAGAGGGGCTTTGGACAAGGGCCTGTAAGGACAGGACAAGGGAGAATGGCTTTAAACTGACAGAGGGGAGGCTTAGATTAGACATAAGGAAGAAATTCTTCCTTGTGAAGGTGCTGAGGCACTGGCAAAGGGTGTCCAGAGAAGCTGTTGCTGCCCCATCCCTGGCAGTGTTAAAGGCCAGGTTGGATGGGGCTTGGAACAACCTGCTCTAGGGGAAGGTGCCCCTGCCCGTGCAGGAGGTTAGAACTTCATAAGCTTTAGTCCTTTCCAAGCCAAATTGTTCTATGATTAAAGACCTTTTTTTAAGAAGCATTTGCAGTGAATTTTCTAAATTCCTTTGCCACTCTGCTTTAAAATATTGTGTGTGTGATTTGTTTGTCAAAATATCAAAGGAGTTTTTCATGCTAGAATTTTTTTTATGGCATGTGAACATGAGCAGGGGCTGTCTTTCCTCCCCACCTCTCAGCTCCTACACCGTAACGCACATGATCCAAAATAGCATCAGCATGTGCTGTACTGAGATGCAGCTGTGAATAGTGGGAGGAAGGACACCATGATGTGGCCGGAGGTGCCTATTTCCTTGCTCTTGTCTTTGATGCCATGTGAAATAGGAGCTCTGATTTCTTGCCAGTGATTTTTCTCTTCTGTGTGGTTGTTGTAGACTTGCAGCCTAGGTGAGAAAGCATCGCACTAAAGGTTTGCTGCTTGCTGAAATAGTGAAAAAAAAAAAAAAAAAGAATTGTTACACATGACATTTCCATTTGTTTTCTTTAAAAAAAAATTAATCTGGGAAATAACATGCAAAAATCTGCCAAGAATTAATTAGATTATACTATTTGAAGCTGTGACTTTATGAATTGCTAGCTTTAAACTTAGACAAGGATGGAATTCTGTTCCCTTTTGCCAGTTGCTTTTTGACGTAGCTGGTAATTACAGTGCCACACTTCTGCTTTTGGGTGCTACCTCAAGTATCTCACAGGGTGGCTTCACAGTGAGGCCTGTCTGGAATAGATACTGTTTGTTTCGTGTCAGCAAGCCAAAATTTGTTAGAATGTAACTTATTTAGGTGTTTGAAATGCTGCTGCATTCTTTGCAGATGCAAAGTGTCAGGGGAATTGTGTTTAGCTGGGGACACACTCAAAAACTGAGGTAGCACCCTTTTTAGAGGTTTGCTACAGGTTAGGATGGACTTATGACTCAGCACTCTGTTGCAGTGCTCCCCAAGTGGCAAAGAGCAGTACTGTCAAACGCGGGATGAATTCCTCGCAAAACTGTGAGTTGCTGCCAGTTGGAAATGTTATTTCCTGTTCCCAGTATGAGATTTTGCACCTGCACGTATGCAACGTGTCACTGTGTAACTCTGCCTTATCCAAAGGGCACAATAATAAGTCAGAACAACCAATGCTCTCCAGTCCTTATAGTACTGATTCAGACCTGGCCTGAGGCCTAGCGGTGGTGTTTCCAAGCCATCACCTGTCACTGGCTCAAGTGAATCCCCTGGGTACATCAGAGGTGCCGTCAACACCTATAGGTGTGCTCAGTCTACGACTGTATCTGCAGTGCTGTGAGGGAAGTATTTAGTGTTTAGCCACAGCCCTGTGCAGCTTGTGTAACCTGCATCACTGTGGTGAGGTGGCTGCCGCTCCCTAATAAGATTGTTTGTGCTCCTTCAGGGAAGTCTGTGTAGACTACAGAGATCTGTTGCTGCAGTGTAGGTGTGCAAAACCCACTTTATCTGACGTGAATGGCCAGTGCTTACCAGGTACCAGGCTAAGGCTCTTCGATGCAGAAGTTCGGTAATGTTTGGGATGCAAGATTAGTCTTTACTGTGCCTGCAGCTGTCAGGTCTCAGAAGAGAGGTTAAGGACTTAACTGGACATTGTGACTATGTAGTTACACCTCTGTGTCTGTCATCATCTGTCTCTAATGAGCAAAGCACTCCTGCAGTGAAGGTATTTGGAGGGATTTCACTCTGTGTTCATGCTGTCCTGATCAATAAGGTTTTCTAGTCACTGACACTGGAACAGGCTGTGTTTAAGAATGTAAAATGCTGATGGTGTTGTGAGAAGTTGCCTGTTTAGTATAATTTATATGTATCTTTTAAGCTGAACTTTTACATGCCATTTTCTTTAAACTATCTGCAGCATAATGGCAGTTAGTGCTAGGATTTCTTTACTTTTTGAAGGCTGCTGTGTCAATAGCTATCTACTTTTCTGCTGGAAAATGTACCAGTGCATGCTTCCCTTT